TATCGAAAATTGTGATTTTCTTGACAAAAAAAGACGAAAAGAAACGTTTTAGCATGAAGAAAACATATTCATTCAGTAAATTCTTGTTTTATGCTAATGATTTTCGCTCAGCATTTTGTGGTTATTTAGTATTGTTACGATTTATTATTCTGACAGTTCAAACGAAAATTAAATGGATGATATAAACCTTAGCTCTCAACATTAGCTCTTATCGTCTTTTCAAGTGCTTACAGTTAAAATGAATTTTATATCTGGACAATTTATATTCAGTTATATTGTGAACAAAAGCTGAAATATTAAAATATCTAAAATTTAGCAACTTTAATTTGTACATAATTGCTAACAAAGGGCCAGTTAATCCGAACTATTCTATAACGCTTACCACATTAAAATTTCATTCATTATTTATCAAGACTATGTGAGAATTTTCGCAGTCTTAATTATTTTCAAAATCTAGCAACCTCGCTAAATTTTTATCCAGTGCTTACTTCACCGCATATTTTTACTAAGTTAACTTTTTACTTGTACTGTCTTTCAAAGCATGAAATTGATTTTGTTTAGTATCAAAGTATTTAAAAAATTTTATAATGATTGTGCTACATTTGGTTTTATAAGTAATATAGCTTTGATTGAAAGATGCAGATTTTTGCATGATTAACCTGAGAAGGTCACTACTAATCTCATGTTTGGAAGTTATCAGCATTAGAAAAAAACAGATTGTCTAACCAAATAACATTAATACCAGGTTAACATTAATACGAGGTTAAATCGTTGACATCTCAAGCCTTGATTACTAAACACAAAAGGCATGTAAACTGAATATCATTTAACCAATGCTCTAATAATATATCCGATATCCAAATGATCGGTTTGAAAAAGTCAAATTATTATTTCAAAATGCAATAACAGCTTTAAAATGGCTACTTTTTAGATGGGTTGCTTTGCTCAGCACAAACGATTTAGCCATTACAAAAGCAAGAAAAGTTTGATCTATTTTTTTCTTCGATATATTTTGGATTTTTTCTCTGATAATTTGTATTTTTGAATTGAAACAAACTTTGATTCGAAAAAAATAGATCAAAGACTTTTCGAATTCTTTAGACAAAATTTTAGCAGCAATAAGCTAAGCAATAAATAGTATATATACAGTGGAAATTATAAAACGTTCGTAATGTGCTATAAAGATTAAAACGAGAAAATGAGTGTTGTTAAAGCTTATAAGATACTGCTCGGGCACTATTAGGTCAGCAAAATGTTGAAGACAAATTTTCTCGAGAAAAACCACGACAATAATCACCTGCCATGTTCCCTACACCAATTATCAATCATTAGTTAGTTGTTTTTTCTTCTTTCTTTTTAACTTTCTTGAATTCATTCTTTCAAATGGTTTTTCTACAAGGTGTTTCAGATTCTTTGGAATTTCCTCTAACCTCTTGTCAACTTGGAAGCTATTAGCTGGCACTTCTCTCATCAAGTATAACTCGAGCTAGTTCAAAATAATTTCTATCGTGGTAATCTTAGACCTGCTAAGTATGCTCCTCCACATTTCAATCAACCTGAATTCATATGAAAATTAACAAAAAACTTTTCTACTTCAAGCATGACATGACGTATAAAAGAAGGAAAAGGAAGCAGAGAAGATCAGGCTGCATGAAGATCCTTTTTTAACAGGCTTAGCTATATGCCTACTAATTGCGGCCAAAGAATTCACTCCTTGCATCTGAATAAATTTAACGTGTGAATGCTAAAACTTTATCGTTAATGGAAATGATGGTTATTTCATTCTACTCAAATCATTAATAGCCTGCGCAAAAATTTTAATTTAATTCTTACAATTTAAAAATAACTCATTCCAATCTTAAATTCCATAATTTTAACCGTGGATCATACCTTTTTGTTACGTGATACAAATTATATAAATAATATGCATATGTTCTTTTTTGTTCGTATTTATGCAAGTTTAAAAACTTAAAGTAATCGAGCCGTTACATGGAGAGATGAAGCTTGCATGATAACGCTTTACTTTAACAAAAAAAGCTCTCGATTCCTTGCCAAAAACTTAGTTCTGAAAAAATTTTACAAAAAAAATCAAAGCTAGTATTATTTTTGTTTCCTGCTATTTCTATTTTTGTTCTAATAAATTTTAATAACAGCCAAACTTGATAAATTTTTTAAATTACTATTAAATAATAAAGTGTATCACACGCTTTGGTGAGAAGCTTATATTGGAAAAATTAAACGAAAAATGGACTTATTCACATTCAATAGTAAGCACATTAAATTCTGAAATCAATGTTCAAATCTTTTTATACATTAATTTTTGCAAATAATTTTTTTCTAGAAATTTTCAATAAAACAAACAATGGTATCAATATTTATTTCAGTGTTAAATAGATAAAAAAGACATATTTCGCGTAATGCAGAGCAATTCAATAATTTGAGAG